TGTGAGTTACCGGGTACCGATTTTGGACACGGTAAACCATACAAAAATGCGGAGAAGAAGCCTCAGATGGTGCCCCGCACAGACTAAGATACTGTCGGTAGGTGCAACGTAGTTTTATGAATCAATAAACGTCGAGTGATACGTCTAGACTGTCAAGATGTGCGAGGACCGCATGGTTCAGGGCGATGTCCTCTGAGACGAAGACTGAACTGTTTCCCTCTGAGATTCTCTGACAGTCGAATCATCGTTCAGGGCACCTGAAGCGGCATTCCGCCTCGGCTGTATAGGAGTGAGGGGTTTAAAGAGACTCTTAGTCGTGAAGTGATAGCCTTTTAATATGCGCACATCTGAAACCAAAAGTTATTTACCTTTTCCTCCTAAACCATTCCCCATATTGTAAAACGCTTTTTTTGTACTTTCTCTTTCGCCATGTTCAACGGACTCCGACAGCCGCTCTTCATTCATACTGAGCCAGGGTCCACTCCTTTCCCTCCAACCACATTCCCTATTGACGATTACGAGCCCCTAAACCTGACAAATAACATTGAAAATCCAAGCATAATGTACTATCAAGATCACACACATCCTCAGCGGACGCAGCAGCCCATGGGTATCCCATTTCCTCCCTCCTATCCCCCGCAGGGCCTCCAGGACTATTCGAACCATCCCGAGGACACGCCTTCTTCCATGGACGAACACATTTCTCCCACTTTTCACAACGAAAATGGCAAACGACCTTCCATTTCCGGCCCTGCCAGTGCTAGTCGCAAGCGCGTGAGGAAGGAATCCGACTTGGATGCTGATGCATCCGTTGGAGGTAACAGCCCCCAGGATGTCTATGATCCCAAGGAAGGGAAACCAAAAGCTACTAGAGGCGCTCGGTATGTTACACCCTTTAGCTCATTACGGCCCTCGATTGTCTGCGTTGCGCCCTATAGACCTTTTCGCTCATGATATTATGCAGGGCCTGCACCGTCTGCAGGCGTCTTAAAATGAAATGTGTGGTACTTCCGGAGCTCAAAGATGGACCCTGCAAAAGATGTCAGGCCGGCAACCATGAATGCATCTTTGAGGAATCCAACCGTGGAAAACGCTCTTCCAAGTACGTGTCGCTCATCTTGTCATCATGTTTGGTGCATCTCTTGTACAGAGACGCGCCACTATTCTTCCTCACATCCTAGCCGATGTACAATCATATGCTAACATTGTCGCTAGAAAACACGAGCAACTTACCAAATCTCTTCGCAAGATGGAAAGAACTCTCGACACCGTCCTTCGCTCTATTTCTAACCCTGCGCTCACCAGTCTTGCTGGAGGAATGGTCTCCCAATCCCCATCCCCCCCACCGGACGCAGAGTCGAGTGCGCAAGAGCCAGCCGGGACACCTGATCGTCAAGAGTTCCCGAACGCGATTCCTGAAGCCATGATTCCCCATATACCCAAAACGGCCACGTACGGTGCGGCCGTGGCACCTGTCCCTGGATCCCCTCGGCTGCATTCGCTTCCAGACAACGTTCTAAACCCTCTTGGTCTGTTGGCTGAAGCTTCCTCTTCACTCCGCCGTGGAAAACAATTCTCGGGGCGATCGCCAGATGGCTCAAACCCTAACGGTCAAGCGAGTGGATCCCAGGATAACCCCAAGGTTGGCGTGGCCAATCTGGGAGTTTATTTCAAGCCGGGTCCCATGACCATCCTTCCCTTGCGTCAATTAATTATTGAGCGCCAAGTACAGGCAAGTTTTTTTTATACTCCACAAGTATCCGTAATGCTGACATATCCTGTCAGCCTGAAATGTTGTCGTTTGTTGCTACGGACATCGTAGTCGAGCTATTTAAAATGTAAGTTGTTCTAAATCACGACCTCTTCTGATGCTAACGAACCGTAGCTATTTCGAAAATATGAACGTAGGTCATGCTCTATCACAAGCCTATCGGAGGCTGACCCGGCTATAGCCACACTGTAGCTTACTCGATGTTAATTTCCATACCCCTGCACTGGTTTGCGCCCGCTCGCCTTTCCTACTAACAACCAGTGAGTGACACGATCGTGGCAAAGGAGACAACCTAATCCCTTTGTCAGTTTGTGCCATCAGTTCGAAATTCTATACGGACGACGAGGAGCTGCACACAAAATTGACCAAGCTCGTCAACAAACTTGCCTGGTCGGTTCCAGAACGCGGCTACAAGAGCGTCGAGGTTGGTGAATCCAACTCTTCTCGACATTGTTGCTTACATGCTCCAGATTGTACAAGCCTATTTGCTGCTTTGCCTCTGGGGAAGTCCCGTCGAAAGATATGAGCACGACCGGACGTGGATGCTTTTGGGCATGGCAATCAGGATGGCGACCGACCTCAACCTCCACCGAAAGAATAGCCAGATCAAGTTTGATTCCCCCGAAAGCCGTGCTCGCGAGGTAGAGATTCGCAACCGAGAGCGGACATGGCTGCTCTGTTTTATCTTGGATCGAAGTTTTAGTGCTCAGATGGGCAAACCTAATGTTATCAAGGAGGAGTGAGTAGCGTGCTTGGTACTTTGACTCGGCTGACTCTGTGTAGCTTTATTATTCGCAACGCCTCTCTATGGTGCCGGCAACCAGGCGCTTTGGCTCAAGACGTTGGCATGGTTGGCTACGTTGTGAGTATACCGAGACACCTTTAGGAACCAGGACTGACTATCTCCTAGGAGCTTCAACGTGTCGTTTCGCGTTCCCTCGATTTCCTTTATTCTGGGACGACTACTCCCTCGGGACTACAGACTACATGCGACTATTTACAAATCATCAAGGCAATTGAATCCCAGATCGACTCGTGGCTGACGACATGGAGCCCGATGATCCTACACGCCGACGCCCACACAACCTATCGACTCGCGATCGCCAAGTTTTACTACAACTATTCGATGCTCGTCGTCAACTCGTTTGGACTGCAAAACGCGTTCGAACGGACACCGGTCGATATGGCCTACTTTTTTGGTCGCGTTCATACAGCTGCGACGGCGTGCTGCCACGTTATGAGAGACGAGCTCGCACCTGCTGGCTTTTTACGATACAGCACTGATTCTCACTTTGTGCTAACCTCTTATGCTGTCCTAACTCTCCTAAAGGTACGGATATTCATGTTGTTTATATACATTGACTAACTCGTAGCTAGCTCGTGAGACCAGAGTTTCGCGGTTTTATCGACAACGAGTCCAAGATTCTCGACTTGGTAGGCGACATGGCCGAGACGCTGCAAGCAGTCGCCATCAGCAAGACGCACACCCCCTACTTGTACAGCGTCTTCTTGCGTGCGCTCTTGGCGTCCAAGATGGAGACAAGTCGACCACCTTCTCCCAATCCAGCAGTGAACAATGGGCCGGTGTTGTCTGCGAACGATGCTTCAACAGCAATGGGAGCAGGAGGGCTCAATGGTCTCATGTATCCCTCCGCCGAGTCGCCCACCCGAAACTCATTCGGAAATCACCACCAGCACAGTCAGAATGGCAGTGTGAGTGATATGTTTGGGCTCGAGATGTACAAGTCGCTTGGCGAGAATTATGGAGATGGGTCTGCGTTTGTGAATCCGTTCGATATGAGTTCGGCGGGAGCAGGGTTTGGAGTTGACCAGATGCAACACTCGTCGGCAGCGTTTGATGCGGCGATGGGAGGGATGGATTCGGGTGCGCCCATGTCGTTGGACTCGTTGCTGAGTTCTGGATTCTGGGACTCGATGCTCGTACCGGGTAGGTCTATTGCAAAAGGACTTTTTCAGCGTCGATCTAACACTCTGTAGGCTTTTCGAATACGTTGGAAGGGATGAGCGGAGGATTCATCTATGGACCCGGCGGGAGTGGGTACATTTCTCGGTGGCACTCACCGTCCGGATCTCGTCGACAAACACCCCGCAATGAAAACAAGTCACTCCCGAGTGGGATGACACCGTTGGAGGTTAGCTGATTCATGGACATTTATGGACGATCTTTCGGTGTCTTTTTCTCTCTTACTTCTCTGTTCAATTCCTGAATCGTTATTGTGGCTCAAAATTATCACTTTTGGCTTTCCTTTTTAGCCTGTGCTGTATATGAGATCTTTTTGGTTCTGTTATTTTTTTTATCTAGAGTAATGGCATCTCTTCTTCTCCCTGTACACGATGTGTGGTTCTTGAGGTGTGTCGATGGATCCGATAGCGCCGATCGCGGTCTTCTGTGAATCTTGATGTATGAGCCCTTTGGGCCGCCGGTTAACCGCCAACCGCCGGAGAGGACTTGTGAGTTACACTGGGTATTCCCGAAGATTCGTAAGTAGTAACAACGATTGTACCCGAGTGTGAGAGAAGCTTGTAGATTGAACTGCGTTTTTGGTTGACGGCGGAGAAGCACGGCGGAAACAAGAGGGTCAGCGTATATACTAGAGCCCAGTAGTAGTGGCGCGCGTCGAACTGTCGTGGATAAACGTACTTGGATATTAACTGCCACTCTGTCTGGATAGGCTTTCCACTCGACTCGTGATAGATTAATGCGGGAGAAATAGGGAGAGAGAGTGAGATGAGTTTGGGCAAATGGATTACGAGAGTTTTAGTCGTTCGCTCGTCGGTGGGTGTGGTGGTGGAAATTAATATGGACCGAATGAGCCCG